ACTACTTTCTCTCGATCAACCCATGCGGGACAAAATGGCACGGCACACTATCAATTTGAAAAAGGGGATGCTGCACTCAAGGTCACTACCCTTCTCACTGAAATATTCAACAAAAACTTTCATGTATTTTTTTCTGGAAGAATCCCCAACCATATGAAAAAAGGATTTTTCGGAAAATCGAGAAAATATCGTTACTGTCCCCGAAAAAACAACTTTCAGAATTCTTTGTGTGGCTTTGACTCAATGGCAATGATTGTGATGGGTACCCGTACCCGATAGGAGGCTCGTCGAGCTGCGAGAAGGGCAGAGACGCAGACGGGTCAAGGAGTCGTAACGCGTGCTGCGTGACGTGGTACGTGGTCTAGTGCTTACCATTCACCTTGACACGAAATCATGCAGTACGCACTGAGACTCGTCCGCAGACCCATCTGCGTCTCTGCCTTCTTGCCGCGCGAAGGGCCGCTCGACTGGTACCCGACTGTAATGGCTGGAAGGCGGAGAGAATTTTGGGACGTCATTGATGGAATGGCATTGGAGGCAGTCTGAGCACACCGCTTAGTGACGTTACTAAGTGCACTCGTTCAAATAATAAGGTCGGTTTTGAAAGTAAATGGATTAACCCAACTGAGAGAAAGGAAAAAGAACACGCGCTACTCATATTCATATCAAAGGAAAGGTGAAAGATTAAAAACGCAACTTTTGATTAAAAAAATTACCTATATATGGGGTGAAACATCACAAGCAATTTCGACTCGTCCCACGAGAGGCCTTTTTGCTTTTGCTGAAAAATGCTTCAGTTTTTTTACAAGCAAAGGTACAATGTAAGGGAATAACCATGATATGATATAAATATGCAGTGATTAAAATGCACAAAATGAAAAATAATGTTCACCTTTTTTCTCTGTAGAACGACCTTGACCCCATCCACAGAAACCGTGATATCAACCGGTCGCTTTTTAATGCCCCGGGCTTTGAACTCGTACTGAAACATAGCGATTACTGTACGATTAGTTCTAACCATGTTTATTGAGATCAAAACTGGCTTAAAGGCAGTGAGCGCGATGGCTGGGAGGCGGAGCTAGATTGGTGACGTCATTGGTGGAAATGTTTTGAGAGGCGGTCTGACCAAACCTTCCAGTATACTACTTTTGGTTGCTTCCAAACGCCGTTCCTCCAATGAGTCCCAAATTATTATAGCTCCGCCTCCTAGCCATCGCACTGACTGCCTTTGAGCGTGTGTAGCAAAAAACGAACCCTAACTCGCCGCATCGCAGCGACAATTTCGATTCGTGTACCAGGTCGTGGGATTTCCATGCTACCCACGTACTGAAAATAGTAATAGTAAGTTTGATTTTCACATAAGGGCATTCAGAAAAGTGAGTGTATTTCGAGATTCCCCCAGATTTTGGCATCCCCCTCAATCTTGACTGCTTTGACAAAATCTCAAAAACGCCGCAGAATGTCATCACACAATAAGATCAAATTTCGAAAATATCTATGAAAATATAATAGAAATCAGAAAATTCTCCCATATTTCACATAATCAATATAACAAGTTAAATTCATTAGCTCTAATACGATGAAAGCGCCTTTAGTAGATAAATTTTTAGTGTAAGCCGCGCCCGCGACCAACCATCATAAATGAAGAAGCTCATTGAATGATTATAAGGGCCAGCCAAGGTTAAAGCTCACCTTCATAATCTCAGCAACACAAGTGTGTGACCACAATAAGGAAGAAGACATGGTCACCAGGGAGGTCCACAGTAGAGGATTTTCAACAGGGGAGAGGGAGGTCGTGTGCGGTTCTTTGGGAGTGGGGATCGTATCTGTAGAACGTAGTGTCTTCTAAGAGAATACTACGGCAGGGTGAATAACGGTCGAGGAATTCCTCGACCATGGCTCTCTACCGTGCGAGAGTAGTGTCGAGAGTGAATGAATGCGCGGAGAGCACAGACGGCTCGCAGCTGGCGAGAGTGAGCATCCGCGTGGGAGAGCGTGAAAGAATCCTCGACGAGCCGTTGTCTTTTCCTCAAGCGATTTTCACCCTGCTCTAAGTATGAGTCCTCTTTAGGGTTCAGTAAATGTTTTTAGGAAAATTAATGACATTTGAGAAATTTTAATAAATTCTGTGGCGGGCGATACGCACTGAGCTTATTTGGCACCACCTCTTCGGCATGATTCACCGCTGGGACAGCAGTCAAGGCGTATGCACAAAGCGTGCTAGAGTGCAATCATCAGCAAAAGCCACTTCCAAGCTGAACACTTCAAGTATCTCCCGTTTTCTAGTTTCCTTCGAAAGTAGATGGTACGAAAAATTGGTTTCCCGTCGAAAGCGAATGTGGAGCTGCTAAATTGTTGCACCAGTGTAGAAAAACTGAAGTAAACAGTTTCATCTTCGAATCTGGAGGAACAGGAGTTTGCGCTTGGGTAAAATTCGATCCAAAGTTTTCACCCTCGGACCATGGACTTTTAAATGGCGTCCTTACCACTGCTGTTCCTCCCAGCCTTTCCTAATTCCTAATGTGAGAGCTAAGCAACAAATTAGGTAAAATGCTAAGTTTACGCTGGATGAACACATTTGAAAGTACTGAACATCATAGATGGAACCTGAAGAAGTTCTAGTTCTAGCTATTTCTTCTCTACATCATATCGACATGAATAACGGGATAGAAGGCTCTCGATGACGTAGTAATCTAGCTGCTGACAAGTCATCTATTAGATAGTAAAAACGTAGATAAAAACGATGTGCATGAAACGGAGGGAGTCCAATGTTGTCTTTCGCGACCGCAGGTGCTCTAGGAAGCTCGAGCGCAAAAGTGACCTGGCGATGGTCAGCCCTAAAATGCTCTACGGCAGTGAGCCCTCGCCTATAGGTTAGAGCAATGAGAAGGCACTTCAACGTATAGCTTCATCATATGAGTATGCTGAGATGAGCACGGGGCTGGACGCAGCCAACAGGGTCAGAATTGAGGATGTCCATTGCACATGCAGACTGCTCCTGTGCACCGTCGCGGTGTTATGGACACCTGTCTAAAGGTGCCAGGAACATAATATGAAAGCAGTGAGCTTCGATGTTCAAGGCAAGCAACCGCGAAGGACCCGAGTAAGAAGTGGAAGGGCACCATAAAGCCGATGTCATAGTTTGCGAATCGAGCGCTCGATCCGAGCGTTGCGCCAGCGAATCGAACTTTGCACCAGCGAGTCGAACGATGTACCAGCGACTCAATAGTGGCGGGACCCAACGTTCAAAGGAAGCCCGCCACTTTCAAACAGTGTCCACTGTCACGTGACACTGTTTGAAAGTGGCGGGCTTCCTTTGAACGTTGGGTCCCGCCACTATTGAGTCGCTGGTACCTAGTTCGACTCGCTGGCGCAAAGTTCGATTCGCTGGCGCAACGCTCGATTCGCAAACTATAACATCGGCCTAAAGAAGAACCACTCTGAAGACAAGGGCACGGCAAAAGATACCGCGTATAGGACGAAGTGGCTTCTAACAAAGACCCTGCTATTCGCGTGGGACTAACGCAAAGGAGAAGATGTGTACAAGAAGAACAATGGGTGACTCCGGCTTGCCCCATCGCACTGAAAAGTCAATGAGTTAACGACCTGTTTGGTGTGACCAGAGAACCTCATGCTCCGGGGAACGCTCGTAAAAAAAGACCAACAAGAATTCTTAAATAGCTCCACGACGAAGAATTGCTTTCGAGAAGACGTCGCCTGAAGACAAGTGGCTTCAAAAGGGTCAACCCTATGATGGAAAATTCCTAACGGGGGGTAGCGGTAATGGAAGTTAAAGGGGTTGTTTTTTAGACGGGGGTGGGGAGATTTTTGCAATACTCATCAAAAAAGAGCTGAGGTCAACGTTGTAGTGTGAGGGGTGCAGAATTTGCTGTTTTTGAAGCTTTGCATGAGGTTTCAGATGCTTGCAAAAATTTTCTGCACCGGCCGGATTCGAACTTGCAACTCTGCTAAGAGCGGTATTCCTGCTTTGACCTCTAGTTGGATTATGTTTATGATAGCATATTTAGATTGAGAAAAGTTAGGAAATTATACAATTGCCGCTATGAGTATATTTCCCAGTAGAAAGGAGTGATTTCCTTCATAAGACCCCACCCTGAACACTTTTGCGCACTTCCTGCTAGGTATTGTAAGTTATGAATGGTATAAATGCAGTGACTAACAATAAAATAGAAAAATGTGTAGGGCGATGGAGCCCTACACATTTTTGGAAACGAGGTTTCTGTTACTTGGAGGATTATGGAGGGATAGAGAATGAGCCAATGGTTTTCCCATGACCCAGGGGCCTGTGCACACATGTAGAGGGGCTCTTAGCCACTGCGCTACATGTGAACAAATCCTCAAGGCACTGGGATTCTGATCAGCCATCCAGTTCTCTAGTGGTAAGCCGCCCGTACTTACGTATTCCTACTAACATATATATGTTTTGTGCCAAATACGTGTTTTATAACTGGATTTCCGATCAGTGAGTGGCTGCGTTCTATCTGTATGCGATCTACGTAGTGAGAGGAGTGGGGAGGGGAGTTGGGCCAAAAAGACTTCTATTTTACAAATTAGCAGACTTCTCGTCCAAAGGCCACCGCTGATGAAGGCTTACGGGGAAATATTTCTAAAATGCCTCTCCATAAGCAGAAGCAAGCCCTGGCTCACTGCCCTAACAGTCTTCAGAATAGGAAGTCATCCGCCATTGTCGCTGAGCTCAAGGAGACCCATCCGTAATCGCCAGCTGGAGGGTGCTTATCTAATTTGCGCAACTGTTTCACTGCTTCAGAGTCTCATAGAGACAGCAGCTCCGACTATGCGAATCCCCCTGCCGACCAGGTTTCCAGACAATGTCTTTGTGGTCCACGATCCTCGCGAAACGCGTTGAGCTCGAACATTGCACCATGTTTACGTGGCCGATTTTTCCGATGTCGCATCGAGTGGAAGGCTACTGTTCAAAAGGTTTGAGTGTCCCCTCTCGAGTTCAACTGAACCACTTGAGCTAAGCAAAATGTGATTGAAGTCAGTTAGAAAATGCGAAGGCGTGATGATACGTTTGTGTCATTCCCCTTCTGTATACATCCACGCACAGCCCTGGCCAAGCTGAAGAATTAACTAATTAACTTAAAGAAGAAACAAAATAAGTAACTCGGAAGCTCTGCTATGAAGAGCTTGGAGAAAATCAGGCGTCTAAATCTTGAGGACAATTAAAGGGGATAAGCCGTTTGGACAGAGCGAGCACTTGAAGTAAGGCGTGAATTACGACGTTCCTGCCGCAGTCACGTACATTGCGCTCGCAGCGACGCGCTTTCTGTGGCCATTTTGAAGGTCATGCCAACAACGATGCTACCCCTCGGCTCCAAGGGCATGTCGAGCGTCGTCGTCCCGCTCCGCACGCGCTGGCGACGAGCCTGGGCGCCGGACGCAAGCGTGTGTCCATCCTCCACCTCCTATATGAACGGCGCTTAGTACAGTTGGCGAGTTTGCTCGACGCGTTCTCTCTTCGTTGAGAGCGCAGAGAAAACGAGGGCGAGCACACGTTTTAACGCGTCAATGCGTCGCGCATTGTACGTGACTACAGCAGAACAATATAATTCACGCCTTACTTCGGGTGCTCGCTCTGTCCAAACGGCTTATCTCCAATTAAAGGTACGCACCATCATCAAATTAGTATGGCTGTTTTGCTCGAATATGAAATTAGAAGTGCGATGTGAAACGATAGTTACGGAGAATAAAAAAAACGGGGATGAGAAAACAAGAACATTGAAACTTTTTCTATTCCCAGGCTGCGAGGAATCTAGAAACAAAGAGGCGAATAAGAAAGCGCTCATGCGACAGAACGACAGACGGATACGAGAGAGCATGGCGGGAAGCGATACGACACATGAGCGACACCATTGGGCGGCCGACCAGCGTTTGGTGGCCTTGACGGCGTTTCGGAGGCATTTTCTGCGGCGAGAACCCTCGGCATCGCCTCATTCACATGCCCCTGATCTTCCCAGCCTTATTTCGGCAAGCTTCACTCCGACTCGAGCTGTCTTTATCCCGCGTGTGACTGCTCTCTACTCGCACCATCTCGTTCGCAAAAAAATCCCCTACAGAAATCAAAGACCAAACGCGCTGGTGAAGCTTAGCAGAACCAGCTCATTCAGTTTTCAGGTCACAGGACAGCTATCATGCATGGATAAAGTATGGCATCCCAAGGAAAGAACCCGTTCACTGTGGCCGTGCGAGCCTCCTCTTATATCCCACTCTGATGTTTACTTTCTATATTCCTAACTGAAGGAAATAATTTGAATATTATACTCGTAGGATATGAAAGTGCGAAAGTCCAGTGTTGAAAAGTCTTGAAGAAGGCCACGCTTCTCTGCTTCCGTGCTTATAACAGTGATCATCGGACAGTTTGAGCAAATGCTAACTACGATTTCGACGCCCTGAGGTAAAGTTCGTCTGACCGCTGAACACACGACAACGATGTCAGGAACATTCTGAGGCTCATTCACGCACATACAGGACAAACGTCTTCAGGTGCTCCAGTTCGCAGTGCTTCTGTTGTGCTCAGGTCGGGAAATCGCAGCTGTGAAGGAACCTTGCCTCCAGAGCTGAGCTGAAACAAACGGTAGAGGCGCGTATCACGAGGGGACCTTGTGAAAGAAGAAGAAGAAGGATCTTATTTTGCGCCTTATAACTGCGACTTTGGTCCCATTTGCTGAAGGTACAATCCCTCAAGGACCTGGAAATTTATGCTGGCAAGAAGAGCAGCATGCGATCAGCGTTGTCCACCACGCTGTGGAGAACTATGTTTGGAGTTGTTGGAAACAAGCAAGGGCGGAAGCGCATTCTTCAAACTTCATCAACTGTTGAAGATTAGGTACGGCGCCATATTGTCAAGGGTTAAAAATCAAGAGGTCCAGACACGTCATTCTGCGATGAGGTCTGCCAGAACATTACCCTAAAATCCCATAGATAAGAGCGGTCCATAGATATTTTTTCAAAAATAAAATAAAAATAAAAATATTTTTTCAAAATCATTTTTTACCGGTAAATTAAACCGCTCTTATCTATGGAATTTTACTGATCGAATGGGCTCTTCAAGTTCTATCCAGAGATCAAATTCCGGCATTTCTAGAGAGATTCCGGCAGAAATTCCGTTAAAATCGCTATTTTTCTATATGAATTGTTTATTAAGTGGGCGGGGTTTAGAGTTGAGGGCGGAGCTTCTTCTAAACTTCTTCTCCGATTTTTATTTATCCATCCATCAAGTTAGAGGGGTGACTGCATTCAATTTCAATTTCATTCCAATTCATTTTTCACCGGTAAATTAAACCGCTCTTATCTATGGGATTTTAGGGTAACTAGGTTTTCCCAGGATGTCGAGCCAAACACGAGGACAATCACCAGTCTGACGTGTCCAGACTTTTTACACTGGTAATAAAAAAGTTTTTGTTCGTTGCGGGCATGGTGCTCGCTAGCGACGGAACAATAAGGACAGTATCCTCCAAGAAAAAATAATATAATAAAGAAATAAATTAGTTTTCAACAATTGGGTTAAGTGAAGCGGTGCTTCAAAGGTGTAAGTGGCAGCCCAACTGCGTGAACCAAAAGGGGCTCGTTCGCTCCCGCTTAAGGCGAAGTGTTTTGCCCGTTACCCAGCGTTCTTGTGAAATTTGCCAGGCAATTAATAGTCTAATAAATAATGACAAAATTTATGGCGTCGCATTGAACATAATACATATCTATGGTGAGATAGAACCCAACCCGTAAAAATTTCCTAGTCAGATTTGAGCCCAAAAGCAGGTAAATAGTATCACGCTCAAACCCAACATTGATAATTCTATATTTTATTTCTCATTTCCATACCTTGGCTTCAAAATGAATTCCGTGCTGGTAGGCAAGCTCGTTGTGAAGTGGGATGCGGCAGTCATAGAGGTCATCTGCGATAATATCATAAGGTCCATGCTTCTTGCGGACCGGCATCTCAACCGCACTGAAACATAAAACTTAAAACCGTATGGACATAGGCCTTCAATCGACCGCCCATTATTGGGGATACGCCATACACGTTTTCTCAAAATTCTGTAGCGATTTTCAGGACGCTAGTTGGTTCCATTGATATGTTGTGCGGGGTAGGCCATATGTTCAAGCCAGTGTTCTATTCTTGATACAAAACTGGTTGGGGTACCGACCCAGAAGGTGGGAACCGTGCGCCGGACGGCGTACGGCTCAGGGTTTTGATCCCACACGTGTGCATGGTGAGCAGCGCCACTTGACACCACATCTCTTCCGTCCTCTGACCACCTACCCTGTGTTTTCGTGATCCCCTCCCCTCCCAGGAGGTCTGAAAAACGACCCACCATCGCTCCCATCAGCCTCAGGGGGTCCCCACTATGACCTCTCCCCTTCCCTGTCCCCGCCCAAAATTCTCACCATCATGGCTGTTTCTACAGCATTCAATTCTGGATAATCGCATGTTTTCGACTCCGACCTCTTTTTCTTTCAAAATGGCTGTCGGATTAGGGCGTAGGGGGGGGGGGTACATTTACTGGCAATGGCAATAATTTCCTATATAACGCTTCTTTCCCAAGCTTTCTGCCTATTGTCAAAAACCTGTTGCAGGGGAACTCTTTCCTGCTCATTCGCATACACGATTCCCCCGTTTGCACTGTTCAAGAGATAGCAACGCTCAGCCAGCACCAAATGCGCCCCCCGCCTCGCGTTGTTCAGAGAGACGGCCTGACCCTGCTTGTGACCCCCTTACGCATAAAATATTCGTAAAAATTCAAGGCGCGCACACATCTCGTCAAACTTGCTTTTCGAGTAAATCGAATTCGTATAACGTGATTTGTATTTGGTATATAACAACGAACACTTGAAGCTTCCACAATTGCTGTGGCGATTATTTGATTATCGCGAGGCGATTCGATGCGAATTCACCACATCGTTGTGTGTACCCTCAACTCGGACCATAATTCAATCGCCAATAGGTCGAGCCGACCACGGCTAAAATTCGAACAGCTACCCACTTCACTAGTTCCACTCACAACGATACGGCCAATCAGCATGCTCCACCAAAAAAATGACCCAAAAATGCACCGATGTGATACGAGGAAAACGATGCTGTGCGGCTTGGGAGACAGCCTGTAACACTGCGCTAGTTACGGAGCGTCAGTTTTGGGACCAAATCTCTAAAGGAGGAAAGGGACCTCGGGGTGCGTAAGCAATTCTATCTCTCCGCAATTCGTCCCTCTCCGTAGGATTAGTCTAAGGGGCTTTCCTGCAGACCCCCCCCCCTCTGAGGCACATTGCGCCAAAAAGTATGTATACAGTGTCATAAATATTGCACCACAAATAACACAACGATGCGCGCCATTTTGTTGGTGATTATTTGTTCATTATTTTTACCTTTGTAAATAGGCAATTTTGGTGCTAAGTGGGTTGGTGGACCAGCGGGGGCCGCTGGCCTCTGCTGCACCTGACGCTCTTCTCGAGCAAGATAGTGTACACTAGAACATCCATTCACGTGGGCTTTGCGCCAACCTCCCAGCGGTTGGCCAGCCTCCCCCTCACCCCCCCCCCCCCTCCTGAGCTGCCTACACTCCCCGCCGCTTCCCGAATTTCGAACATGGCACGCGAGCAGAGTGCGCGCCGAGTGCGCCGCGGTGGTCCCCCCCAACCTCCTTAGGCCTAGCATTTTCCTCACATTCCTCTTAATCAGCATTCAAATAGCTCCGTTTTATGGAAAATATTAGGTAACAATTGTGGTGCACTATTAATGGGACACCCTGTAGATGGAGGATACAATAAAGAAGTAATAGCCTGACTTCTGTTTCCGCATGCCCTCCTAAACAGAAACCAAACTGGTAGTATTGGGTTGACCCATAATTTCTGGCCGAGTTTCAACACTTTGATTTTTTCAAGTTTTATCTTTCCTAAAGAACAATTGATCAAAAACATAACCACCATCATAATCACTGATATGCACCCATTTGCTAGGGAAACGAATGGATGCATTCCTCCAGAACGAGAGAAGCTGTGAGATGAAAAGCTCGAAGAGGTCGTTTTTGGGGTGGTTGTATTTACTGATTTTTTCCTCTCCTAGCTGCTGCTTCAGGGGCTGAGGAGGTGATAGTACGATGGAGCAACGTAAGGGCTATACGATAGATGTGGTGTCGTGGTCCAGCCAGTTTCCCTCGAAACGTGGCGAGTTATCTTTGCAATGTGATTTCGGGCGGTCCTCCGGATAAAGGAGATTTTGAGACTTTTCCAACCGTTCTCCGCACTGCTGCGGCCAACTTTGGAAGCTATTCCATGGTTACCTTCGCAATGCTTGTCTGCATAAAGTGAATGTGTTCTCAAAACGGGATACCCAGCGAATCCAACAAAACGGGGGTCACACCCTGTGATGAAACAGCTCGGGTTTTGGTTGATGTGCTGCGTCCAGGCTGCGAGGTAGGCTAAACGTGGGGAGCAGCAGAGTCAACCCTGCGTTGCGCAGTTTTCAACGGCCACGTTGCGCAGTTTCGCCCGATTAGACACGTTCTCTCGCGCGAACATTCACACTCGCATGCTCGAGCCGTCTGTGTCTCCGCCCATACAGCGTGCGTTGAGGATCTCTCAACGTGCCGTTGCGAACTGCGCAACGCAGGGTTGACTCTGGCCCGCTGTTTTGTGGGCGACTCGTGATTCAGTCGCACTAGTGACCAACCAGGGAAGGTTTGTCTATACGGTAAGTAGCCATAAAAGTTTCTGCAGATGGTCAGGTGTGCTTTTCGGTCATGGTCATTCCATGCATGCTGTTTCCATCGAGACTTCATTCTGCTGGCAGTCCATTCCATTCAGGTGTCGACTCATGGAGCGTAGGCTGCGCCCAGATGTTTGCTACAGTTTCCTGCTAATAGCGTCCGGATGCACTTCCTATTCGTAGCGCAAGCGGTCCTCATCGAAAGTGATTGGGGGTCCGTGATGAGGTCGAACTTTGCAGCTCCTATCGCCTTTGCGTATGCTATTGAGCCAATAGCTCGGTGCCCGATCAGTAGCAACGAGTGGGGCAAACGTAGCGCTGATCTTGCCTACCGCGTTCCTTGCAAGGTTCTTCTTAAAATTGTCGCAAGACAAAATCGTTGGGTTTGGTTGTGCTCTTTTGTTTATTTAAAGGAATCTTGCGCGGAAAAATCATGATTCTATTTCAGCCATAAATCACTGGCTTGAGACTCATTATCCACGATAATAGTGAAAAGAACTGAAGTATTGCTTTCGTTTTGATTAGAAATTCGAAAACTCGAAAAGGCTGCTACGCGTTCGAATTGCCCACGGACGTCTTTCACGAATGCTGGCGACGGGGATGCTCAAACTTGGTTCTTGGAGTGCATTCACTAGAAGCTCTTTCTGGCCTTCTGCTTCGTTGCATTCACATCTTACACTTCTACTCCATCCTATTCCATCGATCGTCTCCACTCTCCGAAATCGCGCGCTTTAACCCGATTCTCTCATTGCGTCGCCTGGTACGTAGCCGGCCAAACGCCGTCTTCTTTCCATGCCTCGCCTGGCTCTGCCTCCTGGTCCTTCGATGGTCCATAACGTGTAGTTTTTGTACGTTTGTTTCTCTTCAGAAACCGAATCTTCATGCGTGAAACTTTGTGTGCTATTTCCAGTGATCACAACTGACATATTCATGTTAGGAAAGAGTGCAAGAATTTTCCGCGCAAGATTCCTTTAATATTTTGTGCAGTTAACTTCTGAATCATCCTGGCTGAAGGTCCTGATGTGTTCTTCAACATATTACTTATTTCATCATGAAGCTAATTTGACATGAAGAAATTGAATTTGAAACCAAAGTCGGCCAGAAATTATGGGTCAACCCAATAATATCAACATTCCGTGTAAAAGAAATGAGAATTTCTTCAGATTTAACATGGAAGCTAACGAGCGACTTTCTAGTGTTTTCCGCATGGAACGCACTCTTGCCCTTAAGACGTTTTACGGACCTGCTACGTAAATTTTCTCATGGTCCTGCATGGCTAGTGAATGCCCTGGGACTAAGCCTTAGAGAGGAGAGAGACTCGCGAGAGAACGCAGAGGCGGTAAAGGGCGGAGTTCAAGTAGTCCGTCGTCCCTTAAAGGGCCGCTCAACGAAGGATTTACCCTATTGCTTGCCCCTATTGTAAAAAGTATACCTGAAAAATTTGAACTGATGCAGAACTGCTTAGAGACCTCTTTTGGATTCGCCTCCCTCTGGCTGTCTTCTATGACAGATTGCAACAATCCTTTAGTTTGCTTGCAACAATCAAAGGAAACTCAAAACTTGCAAGTTTTACCCAAAAGATTGGCCTCGCCCCCTGACCAGAGCCAGCCAGTAATAGCAAAAATTCAAGCCCTAGGTATCGCGAAAATAACCTCTGCTCGCACAAGGATCAATCAAATTGCCCACTGTATGATTAGCGATTACTTCATTATGTAACAATCATTGTTATTTTTTTCAAACTGCAATCAAGCTGTAAAGAAAGAATTACGCGGTCCTAACTAATGATTATTGGGGCCTTACAAAAAATTGGTGGCTAATGTAGTACAAAAAAATCTGAACTCTGAAAAAATTTAGGGTGTTGCCTGAAATCGGGGTAGGTCGCCCATGTGGCAGAAAAAGTATCGCCTGGTGTCGGGTTATTTTGTTTCCAACGCGGTAAAGTAGAGCAGTACTGCAAAGCAATGGAAAGTAAGAGCAGCGAAGTCAGGAAGCTTACGAGGTAGGATTGGACAACGTGATTTGCTCCGGGTTTTTATTTTCGCTCTTGGCAAAACCTCAGGGCGCTGAGACCAAAAATCGCACGTCTTCAATAATATTCCCCCTAAACCCTCAAAAATGGTAGCTGTTGAGCCATATGTTCAGTTGAAATTAGCTTTATCAAGCAATGACTTTTTCGAAAAAATGCTTTTAACCCAAAAAATATACTAAAAAGCGCTAAACTGGTGCTACTTTTTTA